TTAAATAAAGTGCCTACTGTGTGCAAAGAGCACTTTCAGACCAGCTGCTCTTCTCACTCACAGAGAGAAGGCTCAGGGAGGCCCAGGGGAAGGGAGAGCTCACTGCTTTGCCTGTGGTTTCACTCCCTTTTATCTTCACAGGCCTTGATCTGTTCCTCCTTCATCCCTTTCTTCTTTGGCTTAATCCCTCCGACCTTCAGAGGCGTGGTAAGTCTGCTTTTAAACTGTGTTCGCAGGGTGCTGGGCGCAGGCATCCTAGGTCCCCAAAAGCAGAGCCCCGTGTCTCTCAGCCTTGATCCAGGGATTCCATCGCTGCCCCTCCATTCCCACCCACCCCCAGCCCAACCACCTTCACCAAGAACCCACTATCTGGCTTTCTGCTAGACAGGCTGCTTCACTTAATTTTTGTTGTTAAGCCTCAGCAGAAGGTATTTTTTTCCATTGATTGTTAGAGCAGAAGGGATGAGGGAGGGGAGAGATAGCTAGCTAGCTAGATAGATAGATGGATGGGTGGATCGATGGGTGGATGGATGGGTGGGTGGATGGATGAATGGATAGATAGAGAAACATCGTTGTGACAGAGACACATCAATTGGGTGCATCCAGCACTCAGAGCAAGGCTGGGATCTCTCCTGCAGCCCCAGTAGGTGCCGATGACCAGGAATGGAGCCCGAGACCTGTGGTGCTGGGGCTGACACTCTAACCACCGACACACACAGGACAGGGCAGAGTCACTTCCTCTTCCCCTCAGCACGGAGGACAGGTGCCCGGGGGCCTAAGACTCAGCCACTCCCTTAAGTCGAGCTTTGCTCTCAGGGTGGAGCGATTCAGTCCCCTCTGGGACTGACTCTCCTTCCAGCTCGTGGCTTGGGGCAGAGCTGCCGACAGAGCTACGGTTCAGTTCCATCGGCAAACACTCTCTGTAGGCACATGCGGCTGATGGCGAGCCCTGCCCGGCAGAGTCCGAGTGGAGTGTGTGCTCTGTGGGCTCTGGGCCTTGTGCTGGGCTGTGCAGCACCAGGGCAGCTCCTTCCTGGGCAGCCGTCACCCACTGAGATGATTGCCTGCCCCCACTCCACCCGGACATCTGTCCTGTCTGCGGACAGTTGAGGATGTCACAATAGGGGACACTGGTTTGACAGGTGCAGACTCTCCACATTGTACCG